TGCCGGGCGCTCCAGTGGCGCAATCGGTCAGCGCGCGGTACTTATAGGGCAGTACGCGGAGCAATGCCGAGGTTGTGAGTTCGAGCCTCACCTGGAGCAGGACTTTTAACGGGCTCTGGTAGCAGGGTCGCATCCCCCTCCGGCGCCGCGACCCTCCCCAGCCGGGTTTTCTTTTCCTGAGAGAAAACCCTGGAGCCGCTGCGGGGTGGTTTCCCCAGCCTCTGAGCTGCTCCCGGCCTTCGCCCCCCACTAAAACGCTCCAGCACCCAGCTCTAATTCGTCTTCCTAATGTGCAAACAGACGGTTTTTGCTCCACGCTGCTGTTTCTGGCCTGTCCCGGGGTCAGGGATGGGGTCAGCGATGGGGTCTGGTCCCCTGACGTGCTGCATCATCCCCCCCCTCCGCAGGTGACGGCGTGCAGCCCGCTCACCCCCTGCACCCACGGGCACTTCTGCGACGAGCACTTTGGGCTGTGCCTGCCCACGCGCCCCGTGGGACAGTACTGCCGCCGGGACACCCACTGCACCCACGGCCTCCTCTGCATGTTCGGCAAGTGCCAGCAGCCCGTGCCCGACGGGCAGGAAGGTGAGCAGGGGGTCTGCGATGGGGTTCGGGGCAGGGGGACGCAAGGGACAGACCCCCACAGTCCCCCCACCCCCCAGCATCAACCCTGGGAGCTGGGGGACACGATGCTCATGGGGTGGGCGCTGACCTCCGGTGTCACCCCCAAATGGTGATAAGCCAACGGGTGCTGGGGGCACCCAGCCCCATCGTTCCCAGTCCCTGCAGCTCCATCCCAGTCCCCCAGCCTGGGGATGGGTTGTATGTGTGTGGGGGGGGTGTCCCCTCTCCCCTAACCCCGCTTTTCGCCCCGCCAGGAGCCCGGTGCCAGCGGGACGAGGACTGCGGTGCTGGTGGCTGCTGCGCACGGCAGCACGGCGAGCAAGTGTGCCAGCGGCGGCTGGCGCTGGCCCAGAGTTGCCACGTCCCCCCCGGGGGTCTGGCCTTCAGCATCAACCAGATCTGCCCTTGCCAAGCCGGACTGGTCTGCCGGCCCACCGCACCCGGGCGAGAGTGAGTACGGGGGCTGCCGGGGACCCCAGAGCTGGGGAGGGGAACTGGGGGTCCTGCCCCGGGTGCGGGGGGGGGGGGGTGGAAACGGGTCAGGTACGGAGGTGGCACTGATGTCCCCGTGTCCTCTCCGCAGGAAAGCGTTCGAGTACTGGCCGGAGAAGAGCGAGTGGAGGTGCCGGCAGCCCTGAGCCGGCAGCGCATTATTTATTCCCTGTAAATAACGTGTCTGGACCCGGCGGAGCACCGATAAATCCGGGCGAGCGCCGCGCTGAGCCCGGCTGCTGCCAGCGACCATCACCCCGGCAGCGGGTCGGCAGGAGCCCCACGAACTCCTGCTTCGGGTCTTCATCCCTTCCCAGGAGCTGGGCAGGTCCCAGTTCCATCCCTGTCTCGGCCCCAGCTGTG